TTCTCTCCAGGGCCTTCTTGTCCTTCTTTGGTTTCTGGTTTTCTTTCCCTGCTCTTTTCCTTTGTTCTCCCTTGTTTTTGTTTTTCCTTTGTCCCTTGTCTTGTACTGTCCTGTTGGTTCTTGTACTTTTTTCAGATCAATTTTAATCTATATCATCCTTAACAAAAAAAAAAAAACAACTCGATTTGTTGTAAGAGGTTCAATATGAATTTTATATATCAATTCCTTTTCTACAATATTGTGACCAATTCTTTATTCCCCGGTACCAAAAACTTGTTTGTGTTTCACGTATGCTCGAATCTCCGGGACCCCTACCAACATTAACAATTGTTTTGCACATTATATGATATACTGGTGCAAAGTTCAATTCATTAATTGACTTTCATTCAAAATAAGTATAAAATTTATTAGTAACCTTCCCAACAACTCGAAATTATTGGGAAAGATTTTCAAGAATGAATTTTAAGTATCTTATTCCTGTTTACAACCTAATAACATTAATATTTAACACATATAAGCACACATTTGAGGCACGTGGGCCACGAATCTATTTCGCCAGTAATAACAACATTTGTGGGTATTTGATTAAGATGTAACACAGAATAATTCATGCCAATACAGGGGAGGTGGGTAAGGGGGGAGGAATTTATGATTCTGGGTTTGGTGCATGTTATTGTTACCCCTCCAACAAAATGGATTTTTCTTCCATGTAAGTTAAAGTTAGGACATGAGAAGATAGATCGATTAATTATTGGACTCATCATTATTTGAATGATTGAATTTGTTACTAAGTTGGGCAGTGCCAACTGTGGCTCTCAGAATTTGTATTGCAGCCTCACTGCAGCCCCTCCCTACCTACGTGACTTCTTGCTGCAAGTAAGAACAAGGCGGTTCAATGAATCGTGGTGTCACTATTTAAAAATTGAGATGTGAACTAATTTTCTTTTAAGTATGGTAAAATTACATATCAGCTATTCTATATTTATAATCTTCGGGAAATCGATTTCGGCATACCTCATGTATATACCTGTGAATAATAATCAATAACTAGCACACTACTGCACGCCCCCTCAAAACGAAAGCCAATTCAGGTGCTTGAAGTTTGCACAGGCGATCACCATACCTTATGCTTTAATAAACTGTTAATATTGGGGGTGGTGGAGATTCGAGCACACGACCACGTGGTCGAACCAGCTCTGATACCATGACATAAACCACTTGATCCTAATAACTCGAGTTGTTGGGACTTGGGAGAATGTTATACTGGATCATATACCACACTCTTACAAATAACATATTTAAATGTGTCATTCTACACATAACTAATCAATCATACCACACAAATTCATTGTATCAACCAGTGACTAACAAACTTATGATAGAAATTCCCTAATATTTGAATGCCTATATATTAAGGGCTTGTTTGCATGATGGACTTTGTCCAAAATTTATTGTTTGCTTCAAGTATTTAAAAGTAACAAATATGTAGGAACCATGGACTTTTAAGAGTCCAAATCTGTGGGCCCCACGGACTTGGAAATTCCACCTCTTTAGGTGGGAATTGATCATGGGCTTTGAAGTCCATCATTTTTTATCAAGGGTTAATAGCATTTTCTGCCCCTGTACTATGACGATGTAACAAACGTGCCCCTGTACTATTTTTTTGCACAAAGATGCCCTTGTACTATTACGTCGTAACGGACCTGCCCTTCCGTCGTGATTTCTGTTTAATCGCCGTTAAATAGGCCTGGAAATTACCCAATTAACCCTGTTTAATGCCCTCTTACCCCGTTTGAAAATCTATTACAGCAAATTAGGGTAGCAATTCCCGTAACACAGGAAGGGAAGGGAGACGACCAGGCGTTCTTCCTCCTTCGACCATCGTTCGTCTTCCTCCGACCAGGGCGACGACCAGTCATCGGCGCTTGGTCCAGTCACCGTTCGTCTTCCCCTCAACCAGTCATCGTTCGTCTTCTTCCCATCCGTCCGCGGCGCTTGGTCCGTCCCCGTCGTCGGAAGGTTCCCTCGCCGTCGTCGGTAGACTCGAGGGTCGATGGTTGATTCGCCGTCGTCGGAAGGAAACTCGAGGGTTCGCTGGTTCCCTCGCCGTCGTCGGTAGAATCGAGGGTCGCTGGTTCCCTCGTCGTCGTCGGAAGGAAGACTCGAGAGTCAGGTCAGCAGTCTCTCTGGTCGACAAGAGAGGTATTCTTTCAGAAGGGGAAGAATCGATGGGGAAGGAATGGGGAGGGCATTAAACAAGGTTAATTGGGTAATTTCCAGACCTATTTAACGGCGATTAAACAGAAATCACGACGGAAGGGCAGGTCCGTTACGACGTAATAGTACAAGGGCATCTTTGTGCAAAAAAATAGTACAGGGGCACGTTTGTTACATCGTCATAGTATAGGGGCAGAAAATGCTATTAACCCTTTTATCAACCTACCCCTCATATTTCCGTTCTCTTCTCATATCATTTAGGATAATGAAGGTAAAGTGCACTTCATACACACAAATTTAATTAACAAAATACATAATAAAATCTATGAAACAAACAATGATTTTTTCAAATTCATGAACTCAAAATCATATATATATATATAGTTTATCAAAATTCAAGTTATACAAAAAAAATTATTTTTCAAATTCACGATATAAAAGATCCCTAAAAGGTCTCCTAACACACCCATTAGCCGACCCTAACCCAGAATCATCAAGATCGAGACGTGCTTTTGGGCTTTGGCTTTTGCCTCCAAATACATACACAGCTCGAGCATATTCGTTTTTTGAGACGTAGCTTGACCAGAAGACGGCAAAGAAACCAAAACACATTTGATAAATTGTCGTACTTCATTACAGTTATCCTCAACCTTCATCTTCTGACGCCAGCTCCAAGCATTTGTCCATTAGCAGGTTTTCACTGCTGAGAAGTCATTATTTTTTTCCAACAAGAAGCTAACTTTTAAATAACTAACCGGCGGCAACAATCCGAATCATAAGAGGAATATATGGCTGACTGTTGTTCGGGTCGGCCGGTGGTGTCTTCATTACTTTCTCATTAACTAAAGATTAAAGAAAGAAAGATAAAATAACAAACCAGGTTTTAATCTTGTGTGCTAATGAGTAATGACACATAATTCACATGAACGAACTAATTAATACTAGACCGTAAATTCTGCAGATAAAAAGTCATGCCGTTTGGCTTTTCATATTGGGGTACAATAGTCCGTGGTAGAGTTACGTATATTTTAAGATGGCTTGTATTTGTTACGAAATAATTGCTCTAAAAAAATTGGGTTGTTAGCGGATTTTTAATTATGGATTTTATATAATTTATTATGAACACTCTTCTTCAAATAAAAGCCGACTCGTTGATTTGAAACTTTTACAGATCCGAATATCATGTGCTTAACATTGAGGGTCTTCGCCTAAAGCACACAAGAGATTTAACATGGTTTAAATTGAGTATCAAAACTAGTCTATGAAAGAGATAGAGCTCTCCTAGTGAGTCTTATTCGGCTTAAACTCTTATACAATGGTTACAACTATATATAGAGGTTTGCTAACACAAATCATACATAGGTGGCTATCATGATATCTACATAATGATACCTATACTTAACTCCTTAAAATTTATGTTCAGTGCACAACATCAATTTGAACATAGTATGTACCAATGTCGATTAGATGTCGCAACATTGGTCAGAATATCTGTTGTGTGATCTTTAGGGAAAAGGTACCCAACCCATATAGTTCCCTCACTTACAAATGTGTTATATAATGAACATGAATCTCGATACACTCTCTCTAACCATGTAAACTGGATTAATAACAATCTGTATGGTCCTCATATAATCTCCATAAACATGAATTGAGACTCTACATGTAACCTAAAACTCTCTAAGTAGTTGTTATAACAAAACCTAATGAGAACTTGTATATGACATCGAGCAATATTCCACTTCTAGAGATGTCTTCGAAATCGATCATGCTTCCTGCATCTCCAAGATACAAATGATAGGCCAACTCGCTTATGTATACACCAGCCAGAAGTTGACTATCAAGTTTCTTTACAACATGCATAACCATCATAAGCAAAAGCTTCAACACGAGGCTATCCTTGAGATTGGAAAATAAGCAAACATCTTGTGTTTTCCTTAGGTATTGCAAGAGTCGAAGAACAACATTCAAATGCATCGTTCATGCCATTTTCATATACTCGCGCACAACCTGAACAACATTAGCAATATTTGGACGTGTATGAGTAAGATAGACTATGCTTTCAACCACATTCTTATAGGCTGACTAGTCCTCCAATATATTTCTACTATCCTGCTTAGCTTCAAGTTCTGCTTTATAGGTATAGAACTCAACGTACAATATGCAAATTTCGCAATATATGCTTTCCTTAGTATAGTCCATACATGGACCTATGAACCTCGAGACCAAGAAAATATGATACATTTTTTTAGCTCATTTAAGTTATTCAATTGTCGAAGTGATGTTGTATCGAACAATTTTGGAATCACCTCCGTCTATGAAATTATACTAAAATTAAAAAATATAGTCGTTTTGAGAATGTTTGTGGAACCATATCAAAAATTAAATGGATTAATGGTTCAAAGTGTAACACAAAATTAGTAAAATTGTAAAATCGTATATATGGAATCTTTTAAACTTTCGAGAGAGAAAAAAAAAAAACAAAGGCCTAGAGTCCAGGCCCATCAGGCCATCGCCAGCTGAAAGCTGAAGCACGGGTCAAATTGACTCGAAACTATCCCTACCGTCGACTCGGCTCAAAACAGAAAGAAGTAAAATCCCTACCGTCGACCCTTTACGAAGACGCTAAACTAAACAAACATCAACGGGACCCACTCAGCTCTCCCCTTCAAATCCTATAAACGCGTCCCGTCTCGTCCCCTGCAAAACAAAATAAAGTAGAAAGGGATCCGGATCCGAGCCAAAGCCACGAAACCAAACGGACCACAAGCCCCGACCCGAGCCCACCCACAAAAGCTCCATCACCATTCACCAACACAGGTGGCTGGGCTTCTGAAATTCAGTTCAAAAGTGGGTCTCGCTCTCACCGCACTTCCTCCTCCACCACCACCGGTCCCCTCCTTCTCCGCCAATTCTTAGTATCCCTTCCTTTTCTTGTCTTCTTCCTCCAAAATCCCTCCATTCCCCATTTCTCTATCTCTGCTTTTTCCATTGCAGAGATTCCCTCCGCGTTGCGACGACCCGAGTCTCGTCTCACTCTCTTTCTCTTTCAGCTTCTCCTCCTCCCTCCTCCTCCTCTTCTTCTCCCTCTCTCTTTTAAAAATCGAAAGCTAGATCGCTCTCTTCCTCACCCCATTCCTCTGCTTCTGCATTCTGTGTGTGAGAGAGATGAAGGGAGAGGCGAAGCACGAGAGGCGGTGGGGATCGGATTCCGTCCCCGCGAGGGCGGCGGCTCTCAGCAGCAGCAGCGCCGGGACTTCTCCGGTGAGCGAGGCGATGAGCTCGGTGGCCGGGGCGGAGGAGGAATTCGTGGAAGTCACGCTCGATTTGCAGGACGATGATACGATTATACTCCGGAGCGTGGAGCCGGCGACGGTAATCAACATCGGCAACGGTGGGAGTGGAAGTGGTAGTGGTGGCGAGGGAGACGAGAGTGGTGGAAGGGAGCTGTTGCCTCGATCGAATCCGGTTTCCGCTCCCCCGTCCAGATCCCCGACGATCAAGCGGAGCTCGTCGAACAAGCTGCGGCAGTTCTCGCAGGAGCTGAAGGCGGAGGCGGTGGCGAAGGCGAGGCAGTTCTCGCATGAGTTGAAGGCGGAGCTGAGGAAGTTTTCGTGGAGCCACAGGGCGTCTCGCAACTCTTCGCAGCAGCCGCAGAACAATAACAATGGCGGCAGTGTTTCCGCTGGATTCGACTCCGCCCTCGCCGCTCGAGCTATGAGGAAGCAGCGAGCTCAGCTGGACCGGACCAGGTCCAGCGCTCAGAAGGCCCTCCGCGGTCTCAAATTCATCAGCAACAGGAAATCGCAAGGCATCGAGGCGTGGAACGAAGTCCAGCACAACTTCGATAAGCTCGCCAAGGACGGTTACCTCTACCGCTCCGATTTCGGGCAATGCATAGGTTCTAATCCCTAATTCCATCGATTTACCCCACCTTTCTTTCTCGTGATTTTCCGGATTCGTAAAGTCAACATTGCAGAATCTCTGTTTCTAGTCCCGATTACCGATTACACCCCTAATTGAAATTTTGGCTTAATTTGAAGGGATGAGGGATTCCAAGGAGTTTGCACTCGAACTGTTCGACGCATTGGGCAGGAGAAGGAGGTTGAAGGTGGAGAAGATTAGCAGGGACGAGCTGTACGAGTTCTGGTCACAAATCACCGATGATAGCTTCGATTCACGGCTCCAGATCTTCTTCGATATGTACGCTCGCTCACCACAACAAATCTTTAATCAATTGATTTCTAGAATTAATTTGGGGAAACTAGTAATTAATCATGACGTTTAATTAATTGATTAACTAATCATAAGATAACCAACATAATCCCACTTCATCATCAACTAGGATCATGCAAGCCAAGCCCCTCCCCCACACCCAGCCAATAGTTTCCACTGTTACACTAATTTTTTTTGGTTTGTTTTTTTGAATCAACAAATATTCATAGGACATGGCAATTATTTGCAGTTGACAGAGGACAAATTTGTCTTTTCAAACGCCTCCGTTTTATTTATTTCTTTACGTTTCTGATTAAAATAGTACACATGCAAAAGGGGTGTTTCTGAGCCTTTTCTGACAGTAATTAATTTGCTTTTGTCCTTTATTTCTTTCTAATCGGTTTATTATATATTAATTACTCAAAGTGAAAAGGTCAGTATAATTAATTAATTTATTTTCTCCCGGTGCTTTTTTCTTCTTCACCAGGGTGGACAAGAACGAGGATGGCCAAATTGGAGAGGAAGAAGTAAAAGAGGTACCTACCGAGCAAATCTTATGGATATCTGTTCATGTTCTTAATATTGTTTAATCACTAAGAAAATCATTAGTTTAGAGTATTATTGTCAATTGTGATCGTTAATCTAAAGGTCTATGCCTGCCTAGCTAGTTGCATGAATTAGTCAAATAGCCACCTCCATCCTGTCAGATTCTGCTGAGAATTGTGCTTATAAAACTATATGCTTCTTTATATGAATTCGCCGACTCCAATTGCTCGAGAAAGAAAAAAGAGACCCATCAATACTTAAACCAAATTCAAATTTGATCAGTTGTCACAGGCTTAGGAAATAGGAATGGTTCGTAGGCTACAGGGTGTCCATTTGGCTTTATTATTGATAATAATCTTACAGGTAAGGAGAGGATTCGGTGGCCTTATCATTTTCCATCCAAATTCCACGGTCTAACGACTCCAATACACTAATAATCAAACTGTTCCATTGTTTGCACAATACGAAAGGGTCTTTTCTTCCCCTTTTTCCTGCGTTTTTCAACAATTCCAATAATCTTTTCATGACGTTACCCATATTCTGACTTCTGTAAGTTTATCTCCAATATTTTTTTTAGATAGGAATGCATTACTTGTTCAACAGATAATACCAGCAAATTGGATCTGTTCTTCTAAAGGGTTTGGAATTTGGTTGACGACATTCGGCATATCTGAATTTCCAAGACATTGCATTTTTAACTTTTTGGTGGCGTCAGGTAGTTTGCATGACATTTTAATTGTTGGGGTAGCCGGGTAGGTAAGGGTGGCTTTTGATTCCCGCTCTGATAGGAGTTTTGAGGTCAATATTTTATGTTGACCTCAGTATTTGAATGAAGATGAAGGGCCTGATAGATATTGTAGGTCTCGTATTATTACAAGACCAACATTCGATGTATTATCTATATTAATTGGTTTATAGTTCATTCCGTGCTCTCTTACTATTGGTATAAAACCCATTATAATCATGCTGAATTTATATTTTATTTCTTTTTCTAGATTATTATGTTAAGCGCTTCGGCGAACAAATTGTCAAGATTAAAGGAACAAGCAGAAGAATATGCAGCTTTGATCATGGAAGAGTTGGACCCTGAAAGACTTGGCTACATCGAGGTGGGTCCTGCATTATTTTTTAATTTTCACTATTTGTTTGTTGATGTGAATTCCTTATATTTAACGGTTTACACCATGACACATATTTGCTAAACTAAAAAGTAAACTATAATTCTAGTAGGGTGTCACTTTCCATCTAGTTTTCACATACTAGCTAAGTATTTTTTAGGGGGTTGGTTAACTATATGTTTAATGATAGCAAAATTTGACCATTCTTCCTGGATTGCAATTTACTATAAAACTAATTAATTAATTACCAAACAAGAGTTGGTTACAACATTTCTATCATTTGCCTCTTCTTTCAAAGTCCATATCTTCCTCCACTAAGTTTTTCAAAGTCCATTAATTGTTAGGCAACACAAATGACTTACTTAAACTTCACCGAAGAACTGGGTCGCAGTGTTGTTCAACTGTGCCCGAAGAAAGAAAAAGAAAAGAAGCAACTGGTAGAGAAGGATGACTAAGTCTGTTAAGTAAGCTTATCTAAGTGGAGTTCTCCATTTGGTGGTTGAACCGCTCCCCAAGCTGTTTATCTGTTCTTTTCTCCATCTTTCCCCTTCAAACATTAGTACTTTTACTATTTTCAGTTGATGCCGTGGTCATGCTACTATAGCACGAAAAGCTAGTAACCTATATAGAAATATCGGCATGTTTGTGAGCATCTATGAATAGTCAATTCCGGTTGGTAGAAAATTTAGAGTAAATTCCACTTGACCGTCTAAGAACATTCCACTTGACCCTTGAAAACTTCTTGGTGAAGATAAACATTATGAGAACAAACCAACATGATATCATCTGCTCACCTACTTAAACTACCAGAGAAAAATAGTCATTGTAACCCCTAGCCTTCTGCCTTTATTTACCCTTGTTATCGGATTTACACTTTTACTCTGGGGACATAACATACTAGATTTGTGTAACCCATTGCATAGTGCATACCATGATTGCCATTGAACTCATGCATATTCCTGCCACGTTGTGCACCTGACATATGGTATTGGGTGCCCAAGTGGACTGGTGACGGAACATTACTAGTGCATTTGACGCATAAAGCGTGATAATCTTGTCCCTCAATGATGATACTGCAAATAATTTGCCACGGCCATCTAATTCCTATCCGGCAATTTGTTTTAATAGTTCACTTGCTGATAATGATATGCAGCTATGGCAACTGGAGACACTTCTTCTACAGAAGGACACGTATCTAAACTACAGTCAAGCACTGAGCTACACGAGCCAAGCCTTGAGCCAGAACTTGCAAGGGCTAAGAAGGAGGAGCCCAATAGTGCGGATGCGGACAAGGTTCCTCTACTTTTTGGGAGAGAACTGGAAGAGAATCTGGGTGTTAACTTTATGGATCATGATCATGATCGCCCTCTTCACATGGAAGTTCTTTCAGTACAAGCAGAAGAATGCTTTCAAGGTCATGGGTTATTGTCTCCTGACGGCCAAAGGTGCGGCAGAGACATTGAAGTTCAACATGGCCCTTATTCTCCTGCCGGTGTGTAGGAACACCATCACTCGCCTCAGGTCCACACGGCTTGCTTATCTTGTGCCTTTCGACGACAATATTAACTTTCACAAGGTACATCTCCTTGCTAGTTTCACCAACTACTCCTTTTTCCAATTCTCTCTTGCTTAAATTGTTTGCGTATTTTGGACGTTAATCAGTGGGGTCATATCATGGAGACTTTATTAACAAGTCAACGTGATGGTTGATCTTAATAGGCAATGATAGGATTTTTTTTGTTTTCTTCATTAGATGCGCACTCAAAATAGTGATTGGTCATATACGTGTGGTTAGATAACGTTACCCTGTTCTACACGTCCACCACGCAGCAGAAGTTGACATTCACTTTATCTCGGGGATAAAATATAGGCAGAAATAATATTAGTTGAGCAAAAATCAAAAGTTGATGCTTGCACTTTTATTTTAGCTAGTACATATGTAGTACAGGATTTGATTAGGTAGAAACTCTGGTGATCAGAATAGAATACTTACTCACCAATCACATTTAGCATTCCGAATCATAGTGGGAAGTCATATGGGACTAACTGGAAAATTAATAAATTTGCTCTCTGGAAAACCAGATTTCATCCCCGAATCCATTATCAGACGAAAGTTTCAGCTTCTTGTGACTAAATTAAAGCCATTTCAAGTGCTATTACTGTTCTTATGTGTACAAATAGTGACATAACCTCGAATGGAGACAGCATGCATTCAAACAGCTGCTTAATCGTAAAACCTACTTGGGGTCTCATTAATTTGCTTCAAGATTGAACTCATCCCGTGATTGCATTTCTGTGTATATATCCAGACTGTCGCCGCAGCAATCGTAGTTGGTGTTATTCTACACGTTGGAAACCACCTTGCCTGTGATTTCCCGAGGCTGGAGCGCGCATCGGTGGTGGACTACAATCTGTACCTCAGAAATGACTTTGGAGACCATAAACCAAGTTACTTCAAATTAGCTAGAGGAGTAGAGGGTGTAACCGGAATTCTTATGGTGATCTTCATGATCATTGCATTTACACTGGCAACGACATGGTTCAGGCGCAACCTTATTAAGCTCCCTAAACCATTCAACAGAATTACCGGGTTCAATGCCTTCTGGTACTCACACCACCTATTTGTCATCGTCTATGTCTTGCTGGTTGTCCATGGTATATTCCTCTACCTTGTTCATCACTGGTACCAAAAAACGGTATGTACTTCAACCGAACTCTTTTTATAACACTTCCAAAGAGAATCATTGTTTCTAGAGTGGCGGCCTAACGTTTATATAATCTACAGACGTGGATGTATCTCTCTGTTCCCGTCTTGCTCTATGCCGGAGAAAGGGCCCTCAGGTTTTTCCGCTCTGGCTCATACACAGTCCGGCTTTTGAAGGTTGCTATATATCCCGGAAATGTGCTCACATTGCAAATGTCCAAGCCAAATCAATTTCGGTACAAGAGTGGACAGTACATGTTTGTTCAGTGCCCTGCGGTTTCTCCATTTGAATGGTTAGTCTCCTTTCCTATTGGTGCCTTTTTCCTCTCTTCTCCTCTGCATACTGCCTCAACTGAACCAGATTTAATTTGACCTTTTCAGGCACCCATTTTCAATCACCTCTGCTCCTGGGGATGATTACCTAAGCGTTCACATTAGGCAACTAGGCGACTGGACCCAGGAACTCAAAAGGGTATTCTCTGAGGCATGCGAGCGCCCTGTTGCAGGGAAGAGCGGCCTTCTTAGAGCTGATGAAACCACCAAGAAAAGGTCTGCTCATTTCCAGATTCGTATCTATAATAAATTATTAAATTTCCCTTCTCTCTCTGCTGCTGTGAGTAACATCTCTTTCTATACGCGTGAATACAGTTTGCCAAGGCTGTTGATAGATGGGCCTTACGGTGCCCCTGCACAAGATTACCGGAAATACGATGTCTTGTTACTTGTTGGTCTGGGAATTGGGGCAACTCCTTTCATTAGCATTCTCAAAGACTTGCTTAACAACCTTGTGAAGGAAGAGCAGTCGGTGAGTGATCAAACGGTTAAGAAGAGAAAAAATAAACTGTATATATTTTTCCTATCGCATTAACACAGCTGCATTCTCTTTCTTTTCAGGATTCAATATCAGAAGTCAGCAGAACATCGGACGTTAGCTATGCCAGCACTGATGGCATGAGACGGAAAAAGGCGTTGAAGACCACGAACGCTTACTTCTACTGGGTGACGAGGGAACAAGGCTCCTTTGATTGGTTCAAAGGGGTGATGAATGAGATTGCAGACCAAGATCAACAGGTACTTATCACTCAAAAGTTAATTTAAATCACCCCGTTTAGCTAGTGGTTTACGTAATTGAAATGTTTGGTGTTCTAATCTCTGTTTGTTAATGCAGGGGGTGATTGAGATGCATAATTACTTAACCAGTGTGTATGAAGAAGGCGATGCTCGATCAACCCTCATTACCATGGTGCAGGCCTTGAACCATGCAAAGAATGGTGTGGATATTGTCTCTGGAACCAGGGTAAGTTAACGCCAGAAAAAAAAAAACATATTTCACTCATAGTAATCTTCAATTCCCATACTTCCAAGCGCTAAACCGAGATTGCAATGTGCTGTGTTGATGTCCACTCATCAGGTGCGAACCCATTTCGCAAGGCCTAACTGGAAAAAGGTGCTGTCAAAACTAAGTTCCAAGCACTGTAATGCAAGGATAGGTAAATTCAATACATACATATTTTTCATGCCACTTAGTTTCTTTAATCGTCTTGTACGCATTGGTTCTGATCAATGAGTTTGGTTGGAATTAATGCAGGGGTATTCTACTGTGGGGCACCTGTTCTAGCACAAGAACTGGGCAAGCTCTGCTACGAATACAATCAGAAAGGGTCTACCAAGTTCGACTTTCACAAAGAGCATTTCTAAGGGGAAAAGGCGTTGTACTAGGTGTCTCAGGTTGCACATAGACATCATTTCCACCACTCCTTGCCTCTACATATACGTAAGAGCATTTCTTGCAATAAACCCAGAGTAGCTTTGTATAGCATCCAGAATAGTGAGATGAAAGAAAGCAGAAAATTCCAACAAAAAAAAAAGAGGAGCGAGCCAGAAGGGAAACAAAACACAGAATGTAGATAGGTATATATATTACAGCAGAAAGCTGAGCGATTCCGGTCGGCGGACAGTCTGGTCATCAATCAGTTTTTCAGCCAGTAAATTAGTAGTAAGCTAGATAGGCTGCGTGGATGCAGCCAGCCAGTAATTGGTGCTTGGAGGAGAGTGGAATTACAGCTGCAATGGTGATCCAAAAAGTCTGCAGAAAGCTTGTTTGGGGGAATGGATGGAGGATTATGATTCAAGTGGACCAAGTGGAAGTGTCCTCTGTAGGGTTACTACTTTCTACACAGGAGGCTTCATTGGCAAACATTCTGAATGGAATGGTGGGGGGAATATACAGTTTTGAGACGGGAGGTAGGTATTCAATATTTATGGGTCCTACCAGAAGCGTGGGAGTCGGATATTGGAGATGGGAAATAGGGGGATGAGCTAATTTTGTCTTCCATTTCGCTTGGTTGCATATTATTATTTCTTTTTTGTCAAAACTTGTTTGTCCTCAATGGGAACAGCCGCAGGCAGGGAAGAAGAAGAAGTATGTTACTCCTTCCTTACTACAGAATGTGTATTTGAGATTGAGTATGAATGCTTGCTGGGGACGCACAGTGCAAAGACCTGTCGTCTCCATCAGCATGATTCTGCGCTTTCTATGCTATTAAAGCAAGATGAATTTGTATATGCAAATACCAGTCACTGTATTTCTTGCTCCATAGATTATTATTTGGTTGGTTAGTTCCATTTGAGTGGACTGTTATCATATCAATTAGTACCTATTACAGGCAGCTAATTATCTCCTCAACATACTTTATTTCGATTGATTGCATCGGCTCTATCATCTGGGTTTGACGACGCCAGTACGCCACAATGCAGCTTATTATAGTTCTCTACACATCTAAAACCAGAGGGAAAAGCTGGCGCTACTATAATGGCGGAAGGTCCAAAGAATTTAAAAGCCCAAATCAATCATAGATCCATGATGTAGCTACAACCCAGAACGGACCAAACTCAATAGCAGCCCGGCCCAGCTATTTCTTTTAATGGGCCCGGCCCGGCTGTTTTGCTCTACGGGAAGATAAAAGGGCCAGCTCTCCTTAACCTTTTCCTACTCCAACCTCGTGTTCGTCCACAGTATAGTAAGTTGGAATAGTTGCTTTCTGTGCTTACAGTGTAGCATTGAGATTTGAGCACCCCCCATTGATGGTGTTTCTTTTGCTAAGATGCTGCTGGGTCACAATCTAGGCGTGCAGGTGAACAATGGCTCGCCAAGCTTGGCCATCCATCCTGAGCCTTCGAGCTACAGTGTTGCCGACATTTTGTAATTAAGCTCCATCTACGAGCTGATGAAATTCTCTTCATAATTACGATTGATCTTCATTACTATTAGAATTAAAGGTTTGGTTCATATGACTTCATCTTGTTCCTAATGTTAATAAATACCAAGTTAGCCTGAAAAATATGCATGTACCTTTTGTCATAGAAAAATTCATGACAAATATTTGGCATATATGGCTGTTTTTTCTTCTTCTTAGGCTCTTGTTAATTTGGTCCACACTTAGGATGGCAATTGAACTCGTACATGTGGGTACCCAACCCGATTAAAAAGGACAAAACCATGTTGACCAGTTTTGAATTGACAAGTTTTGAATTGTACGCAGGTAAAATAAGTATGCAGGTATTAGAAGGAATTATTCACAGTTATATTCGTGCATTCATGGGTACTCATGCACTAACGAGAAATATTCTTTCAAAATTAATTGAACATTTAACCCTTTTTTTTCTTCTTTTTACTACGGATGCAATGCACATGCTGGATTGAATATGAAAGACCCCTACTCAATCGTCTCATTGTTATCGTTAGTCCACACGCACACACATCCATCCCATCCCTGCCGTACTTGTCTTGGCATTTGCTTGACCTGGGCCTCCCTTCCTACCAAACTTTTCGGACGAAAAGAAGAGAAAAAAAGTGGTCTAAATCCATAGAGGGCCCAATTGCTAGACCAATAATGAAGTCCAGATTGACTGCACGGAATGTTACCATCAGACTACCAACAGTCCATCTCTCCTCCCTCCCATCACGCCAGTCGCCACCACCAAAACCTAAACTAAAATAAAAAACACAAAAGCGAATAAAAGTACAATTAAAAAAATAACGAAGGCTCTGGTTCAAGTTAATTAAGAATATCCTTAATAATTAGTGTAAGACACGTTTGGTTCCTATGTCCAACTCCAACTAGACACGAAGAAATTAAAATATGAACGAAGGGAATTGAAACAAATGGGAAGCTTCTGCCAATTACACATACTAATAAGACTCATCAAGGGAATCAACCTCTCTCTCTCTCGTGAGTCTTCCTTCAACATTCCTCGCCTCTACACTTGAAAACAAGTCCCAAATAAGAAGTTAGGGGTCATTTGGATACAGGTTTTGGGTGTGGGATTTGGGCACAATCCTACATAACGTGAGATTTTATTAAAATAACTCGTTTGGAAAACAATTATATGATAAGAGATTTTAAATATTAGAGATTTCAGAAACCCACAATTGTGGGATTATGAAATAGCTGATGGTGATCAACTATTTTAAAATCCCAAACAAATTCCACAAATTAAAAACCTGGGTTTTTAAACCAGTGATTTGAGCCAAAATTCCACAAATTAAAAATCTGGATCCAAATTACCCCTAGAAGTCCACCCTGCCTCTTTGTTCGTGTGTCACATTTATTACACTCGGCAAATGCATTTTGAATGAGGACAAATGTATATTGCATTTGAGGTCACTGAAAATCTGAAATCATTTGCGTAGTACATGCTTGCTGCCTGAAAATAAAAAAACATTACATAGTTACTATGTTGATGTTTCTATGCAAATCTGTTAAAATCGTTTTATGGGATAGTTAATTTAAAATCATATGAGTAACATGACGATTTCAAAGGGTTTGTAGTTTTTTTTTTTTTCTTCAGAAAGTAATAGCAATAAAGTTCAACTAGATTGGGGTCCGCCCGTTGGCCGGATGAATTTCGTTAATAGTATAAATAAACATAGTAATTGTTCGAAGCAAGATATATTTTTATTTCATACCATACAAAATTTCAAATCATTTAATTATCAGAAATATCATTCTCGTATAATTTTCAATATGCCAAGCCAATTTCTTACCGAAGTCTTTATTGAAAGTAAAAAACAAAAGCAAGGCAAGAAAATTGAGTCCTAAAAATTCAATCTGACTACACAATTTGCTCCTCGTTGTAACAAATTATTACACATTTCATTTTAGATTCCACGTGATCGCTTCTCCTTCGCCCCCAAATAACCATCATCTCCACCAACTACAATGCATTTTTCTTCTATAACGAAACCTTTATCTTCACAGTAATTTGTTCCTTCTCTTTTTCTTTTCTATTTTCGTAGAAAGCTAATCTTTCATTGTAAAGTATTTTGAAACACTAAACATTCCACACAGTAGAATATATGTCTCATGAGCATTTTATGAGATTTATTCTTTCCCCAACGATAATACACAATTTAGCGATCAACAGAAAATTTGATACTCTATAGATTAAAAACTTAATGAATAACCTTTAGGGGGTTGACTATTCTCCAATAAGTATGTGTATTTTTTCTTCTTCTTCTTATATAGATGCAGATTTTATTTTTCAATTTGTAAATCATGAATTAAGCGGAAGTATCATGATCATTCTAAGTTGACTTTAGGAAGGTTGGGATCTTAGTCAAAGTCTAGTCAGCAAGATGATACCCACTTTCTTGACAATCAAGCGACAAATTGATGGCGGGGATGATTAGGAATTGATGTATAGATCGGGTACCACTATAGATGAACTGATAGTTCATGAATGCTATTGTAGATCGATGATGCCATAGGATGCTAGAATAACATATTATTTTTATTCCAAAAAATGTCAAAACGAAGGTTTTGTCTTCAGTGCACACTTTTTTGGGTGTATGATATGCGCTCACCTCATAATTGACATTCTAAGTACGATTCATGTCAAAATGATTTAAATCGTTACTTGTATTGTATGATGGACAACAAAATACACGTATTTATAAAAAAAAAAAATCACTCAAGATTTACTTTGAGTTGAATGATTTAGAATTTAGGAGTTTTGGGTTTGGGGTTTACAATTTGGGGTGTAGGTTTAGGGTTCAAAATTGAAGGTTTAGAGCTTAGGGTAATTCATTGTTTGGTTATGATACTATGTTATATTATCATATTAGAATAATAGTACCACTTAAAATTTAAACCAAACGCCTTTACATTACTTTTAGAGTTGGGTGCATAGTATGCACTCCTTTGTGTGAGTGCAGTGTAGAAGCTACCCAAAATGAATATTATTCTATGTAGTATAATTATTTGATTTTTAGTGAAAAGTTTATAATTTAAATCAGGACAAATGAAACATGACTAATTAAAAATCAATAAGGGAGTGATTATTAACGTTGAATTATACACCTCGTCTATTAATAAATTAACAATAATCTAAATGGCCTAAATGATACAATGAAATAGAGCTGTTAATAATAATTTTAATAAATATATAATGAATTCTACGGTGCACCATATCATCGGCTGTTTCATTTAAAAGAAAAAACTTTATGGTACAAATTGAACTTATACCTTTAACGTAATAGTCAATTTCAAGTTGTTTCTATACATTTTCACACAAGTGCAAATTTAATTTGTACCTATATCTTTCGGTGCAAATTCATTTATGATACAAACTGAACGTAGAATCTTTAACGTTATGATAAAATTTGCACCTATACATTTTGTACAATTACTTTATAATACAAAATAAACTTGTATTTTCAACGTTATAGTATAAATTTAAATTGCATTAACAAACACAATACTTTGAAGAAGTTGGGCCACATAAATTAAACCTTTTTCTGTTCTCTATGGCTTGTATGGATTAAAAATATTGAGGTAAGCCCCATCCGTCCTCCTTTTTCTACTCTGTAGCCCATGTGAATTAAAAAATATCTTAAGGTACATTTAAATCTCATATTCATGGAATAAATCATAAATAGATTATTTTGTTAATTTCATTTGCTAAAACAACAGTGGTGAATTAACCCATATAATTATTGGTGCTCATATAATTAGCTTCTACTTTGTGTCGCACAAGTGCTGTTGTTGTCTTCCAAAAGAATTCTCCAGCTCAATTCTCTCGGTGTCCCTTCAATTGTTTCCAGTCCCAAGTTTGCAATGAAAAGAATAATGGGTCTGGCCCAGTTCGGTCAATAATTACACAGATATATTTACCAAAGTCTCCTTCAGTGAATTGCGAAGAGAGCAGGAAAAGAGGGATTAAAGGGGTTCCGGCCAAGAATCTCCATATAGTATTGTTAGTATTAGGATTTTGTTCTATTCTCATCTTCTCTAGCTCACTATTTTTTTTTTTACATCTAATGAATGTATGCGAGAGCATCTAAAATTGTCATACACCTCCTAACACATGGAGCATAGAGGGTTCCACGCTCTCGTTATGTTTTTTTTTTTTTTTTTTTTGACAATGTTAAGTTCATTAAGAGCAAATGGGTCAAGCCCAGTGGAAGAGTTTACAGACAATTAAACAACAACAGGCTAAAAGACTAAAAACACAGGCCCAAACAAAAGTCCAGAGACTCAATAGAGCCCAGACCATGGGCCAAAACCAGAGCTTCAGTCTTCTAACCCTAGTCGTTCAATGCCCTCCTCTGGAACCTTCATCGCCGTCGTTGGAAAAGGACCGCCGCCGCCACCAGCCAAATCCTG